AAAAGCCATCCATCTACAATACCGACCAATGCGCCCACACCCAGTGCAAAACCCTCATAAACACCCTCAAAGACCCCGCCGTGCGCTGCCCCCAGTGCAACCACCAATACTGCCTGAAACACCGTCTCCGCGAGGAACACGAATGCGCCAAGATTACCCCGCTGGGCGCGCGCCAGCGCAACACCGCTTCGCCAAATGATACGATCAAATCTATGTTCGCGCGCGTGCGCACCTGGGGCCGCGATAAGCAGAACGCCGCTGCAAAGGGGACCCTACTACCGGCTCTACCAAAGCTGAAGCCCAAACCGAATAGTCCCGCTGCGCGTGCGGTTGCTGTTAATGGCCTCAAGCGATCGGCTAAGGGGGATGCTTCGGTGCCGGCGGATAAGAGGTTGTATTTGCATGCTGTTGGTACGGTGGAGACGCAGGCTGCGGAGCCGCCGGCTGGGGATTTCTTCTTTGATTCGAGGTGGAAGGTTGGGCGCGTACTTGACGATGCGGCGAAGAAGTTGCGGGTTCAGAATTTGAATAATCGGGTTGATGGGGAGGATTCGAAGTTGCGGGTCTTTCATGTTGAGTCTGGGGAGTTCCTCGAGTTCTCGGAGGCTATTGGTGCTGGGAAGGTAAAGCAAGGTGATACGATTGTGTTGCTACGCGGCGCTGGGGCTGTTCTTGGGAACGCATGATGCATTTATTTGCTCTCCGTTTAAATTTGTTTTAAATTTGTTGCTTTTTGCTTTTCGAAGCATATACACAGCCTGATACACCTGGAAGCATTTTTGCTTCAATGCATGGGTTGCGTTTCTGTAAATCTAGACTCGGAGTTTGAATGCATTGCTAATTTTCTTGGTCTCAAAATATAAGGCCTGTGTCATACATCACAGAATAGTTAATTGGTATCATACAAACATCGCAACTCGGGCAGTGCCCGCAAAGAAGAAACCAGAAATCTATATAAATCAAACGCTCATCTTCATTTTGATGATCTTGTGAGGCTTGTATCCAATGACCTCAAACTCATCCTCCTTCCAGCCATCAACGACCGCGCTGCCCCGGTCATCACGCTTAATGCGCAACTCAGGGAACTCCGTTGGATCGCGAACAAGCTGCTCATTAAGCGCATCGATGTGGTCAAGATAGACATGGGCATCACCCATAGTGTGAATGAGAGTTCCGGGATGAAGATCCGCAGCATGTGCAAGGATGTGAGTAAGGAGAGCATATGACGCGATATTGAAGGGCACGCCGAGACCCATATCACAGGAGCGCTGGTACAGCACGCAGGATAGGGTACCCTTCTCTGATGGACGGCCAGTCTTTTCATCAAGCTTCATGCCAGGGGGGAACGAGACGTAAAACTGGGCGAACATATGGCACGGGGGCAGAGCCATCTTTTTCAAATCAGCGGGGTTCCACGCGCTCATGATAATGCGGCGATCGAAGGGGTTGTGAACGAGCTTGTGCACAACATCTTTGAGCTGGTCGACACCCTGGCCGGTGTAATCCGTCTTGGCGTCGACGTACTCGGCACCAAAGTGCCGCCACTGGAATCCATACACGGGTCCTAGGTCACCCTCTTCACGGTGGCCGAGGCCAGATTTATCTAGGAACTCGCGGCTTCCATTTCCGTCCCAAATTTTAATCCCGGCTTCGGAAAGTGGGAGAGAGGATGTGCAGCCAGAGACGAACCAAAGTAGTTCGGCGAGCACGGCGCGTAGGAAGACTCGCTTCGTGGTGAGCAGGGGCAAGACGGGGATTGGCTCGCCGCCTTCTGGGTTGGGCTTTGAGAGAGAGAAGCGTAATTGTGGCGGTGCAAAAATTGATTGCGTGCCAGTACCAGTGCGGTCGGGTCTATGCTCGCCTTCGGAGAGGATTGTGCGTATCAAGTTGAGGTACTGGTGCTCTTCGTGGGAGGGGTCATGTGGCGGCGAGGATGCCACGGGGGCTGCAGCGACTTGGTCTTGAGTCATGGCGTAGAGTGAGCTAGCGAGGAAGGGGGATATCAGGCTTTCTATTGATAGAACGGTAGAGAGCCATTCAGTGTGTCAAGTGGACGATGGAGAGGGGAGATCGGTGGATCGCGTCGACGCGACACGTGGTCACGTGTCGATCCCGTATTTTATAGTGCTCGAGCCAACTTGTTCAAGGAAGTTATCCAATCAACTTTTAGTTCGCTGTTGTAGGCATTAACATGCGCTGGATTACTTGGTACACAATATTTGCCCTTTATAATAATATTCTTCCTAAAGTATTCACTTTGATAACCCAACATACAGAAGAACACTTTGGAAACCCACATATAAGATTTCAACAGACCACTATAGATGATACTGCAGAATTTCCAGCATTACTTTTGAATAGAGGTTGTTGCAACAATAACAGTCCAGGAATAGGTAACGCATATCTCATTTTCAGTAAATATTTGATAGGACGCACTCTATTCAGTCAACTTAACGCCGCTGGAATGGATGCACACGCTTTTCTATATCATGAAAGCAAAATTTCTCGTTATCTTTTTCTTCAAGACACTTCTCATTTGATCAAACAGTGATCGCGGCGTCATGAGTCTGCCAACAAGTCCACTCCAACTCCCCGCAGAGCACCTACCGCCCACCTGGGGAACTTTGATTTATCGCCTCCGTAGATATCGGAGAAGAACTTGCCAAGAAAAGCCGGGTATTGGTCTTCAATAATGGCTTGTCGGATTTTGCCCATCAAAGTCAACATATAATGAACGTTGTGGATGGTCAAACTGTAGAAGTATCAGAACCGAAACAAGATATCGTGGCCAGTCCACACTTACAGATGAGCACCAACGGTCTCTTTGGCTGTAATGTGGTGCATGTATGCTCGCGTGAGCCCAAGACCACCTTGGTCAGTTGAACGACAGCAAGTGCAGGTACAGCCCTCCTCAACTGGACGGAAGTCATCGGCGAACGATTTATGACTTAGTTTCAGTGTTCCAGAGGAGACGATAGCGTCGCCGAAGCGCTAGCTGGGGTCAATGCAAGAACGAAGCTGGAGGGTTTGTTGAGTCTTACCGCTGTCCGTGTCGGCCAAACACAATCAAACATATCTGCACCGAGAGCCACTGCTACAACAATATCCTCCGGGTATCCCTATTTTTGTGATTAACCAAGGCAAAAGAACCAATTCAGTCAGACATACCACGCCCATGACGTATCTGGGTTTATGTTCCGGGAGAATTGTAGTGCATGTATCTACTCTTTGGTCTGTTAGTTTATTTGGTCTTTCTTTTTGGTGGAAGTAGAAGGACATACACTTTGCAGAACTCCTCCTTGGCCTCGCCACCAGATAGACCTCCAATGGCAATTCCCGGAGTATCTCGCGCTACCATCTCTTCACAACACTGCTTTCGCAATTCGAGATCCAGACCACCTTGGATGATACAAAAGAGATTTTGTCGCTCGGGATATTTATGCTCCTCAATGCACCGATCTAACCATCGTACAGACCGATCCATAGCCTCCTTGATGCGGGCATGATCTGGCGAAGTGGTTGCAATCACATCGTCTAATTGCATAATAATATCAGATCCGATAGAATTTTGGAGAGAAATGGAGTGTTCGGGTGTCAGTAGCCTGGTAAAAATCAGCATTTTGGATGCTCAGCTACAAGGTTTATTGCAAAGCCACCTACATTGGGGAGCCATCGTGCGGACTAAGGAATCGCACTCCTTCCTCTGTGACCGTCGCCAACTCAAGAAGCGACACCATCTGGAAACTAAGTAACACACATACCCGGTTAGTAACATATTATCAATGTGCGACAGGAGAATAGTGTATCTTACCCCCCACTATCGGTCAAGAGATTCCGATCCCAGCCTTGTAACTTGTGCGCCCCGCCAACTGCATCTAGTACCGCCTGACCAGGCTTCAGACCCAAGTGATACGTATTATTCAAGCACAGCATGCATCCCGTCTCTCGCAGCTGGTCGTATGTTAAGCCTTTGAGAGATGCCTGTGTCGCGACGGGCATGAAGATCGGCAGAGGTACGGAGCCATGGGGCAGGTGGAGGGTACTCGCACGGGCCTTAGTTGTCTATTTATACCATAACACATAACCGCATCAGATATATGTTACCAATAGGTTTTCAATTGCTGTCATGCCACAAGTACGTACCGAGCATTTGGCGTGACGATCGAAGGTTAATGCAGAGGGAATCGACTTGTGAGCGGGGGCGGTGGTGGTTGACATGGTTGCGATTGATATAGATGGAGTTGAATATGATGTTTTACCGAGGCGCCTGGCTAGCAAACGGTAGCATAGCATGGGGAGGGGTGATTTGGGTGTTTGCGATGCGATCAGGAACACTTTTATCTGATAAGCTGTTTGTCTGGTTTGCACTCTGAGGCTCAACACCTGGGCCCTCCATAAAATACCTAATTTGGATATCTTCGAACTTATTTGTGTATGTGAAGTCCTTAAATGCTCGATGATTTCAAGTCGAGGATATTTTCGCCTTAGTTGAGACTCAATATTACCAGTAAATCATGTTGCTCCCCAACAAAACTAACCCATACCTGCAAACTACTTGTAAAAAGAATTATTCAATGATTTGAAATTCTAACGATAGCCATGTCGTTACCGATACTCTCTATGTTGACTCCTTTTGATATCCCAGATGTCCTTGGGATCTAGATGTGGAGATCCGGGGAAACCCCGATTCAGGGGAAAACGAGAGACGGCAACCAGATCCCACCTAAATGAAGTGTCAAATTAGACCGGGAGACCAGCACATTCCAAACTCCAGATCTAGTCCCGAAATCAGATATCTCCAATACCCCAATGCCGGTGAGGTATCGGAGGATTGCCGAGTCGCCCTAGCGCGGGGGACAAAGCCCGGGGAAGCTAAATCACACAGGGGAAAAAAAAAAAAAAAGAAAGCGAAAAAAAGGATCGTGGTCTTTTCTGCTTTTCTTGTTCCTAACACAACTCTTTTGAGTATTTCCAAGGCTGCTTGGCAAAATCTTGTAAATATGGCAACGGAAAAATACATGCAAGATGTTGAACAAGCTTCAGGGGTATCTTTCTCCCCTTCCCCCTTGTTATAAAACCTACTGGTGTTGCGGTGTGTGAAATTGAGAGAGGACTGACAGTAGCGCAGCTTTCCAGCCCTGATATTGTCGACGAAGCTCTCAAAGCACGCGAAAAGGCCTTGGTCTGGAAACAAGATCTACGAATCGTTCCCTTGTGCGCTGCAATTTACTTGCTTTGTTATCTCGATCGCTCTAACATCGGTATATTTCCCGCCACCCCATGTCGGATATAATTGAAGCTAAAGCATCTAGGCAATGCCAAAATTTTGAATTCGGACACTCACAATGATCTTCTCTCGGAAACTAATATGACTTCGTATCAGTACACGTGAGTCGCAACTGTTAATTTAACCACTACATTCACAGCGCTGATTTACAAAAGGATTGCGCTCATGGTATTCCTGATAGCATATGCACTGTTCGAAGTCCCATCAAACTACTTCCTGAAGAAGCTCCGTCCTAGTGTATGTCTAAAACTAATCTATAGACATCATCCATTCCCAATTATCTCAATTCCACTAACAAACACCAGCGCTGGATCGCTTTTCTCATGCTCTCTTGGGGTGCAACAACAATGGGTCTCGGCGGCGTCCACAACTACGCCCAAGTAACAGGACTCCGATTCCTCCTCGGCGTAATGGAAGCTGGCCTCTTCCCTGGTTTCGTATACTACCTTACATTCTGGTATCGCAACTCTGAGCGGTCGATCCGTGTGGCCTTGATTCTCGCCTCGGCAACACTAGCTGGCGCATTTGGCGGTGCTATTGCCTTTGGTGTGGGGCATATGAATGGCGCTCATGGTCTTTCTGCTTGGAGGTGGCTGTTTATCATTGAGGGTGCCCCATCGTGTGCGTCTGCCGTTTTGGTCTGGTTTGTGTTGCCAGATTACCCGGAGACTGCTAACTGGCTTACTGCCGAGGAGAAGGAGCTTGCTGCACAGAGGTTGATTTTGGAAGGATCCAAAGGTTCTGCTCAAGCTATGTCTTGGGAGGATGCAAAGTCTACGCTGACTGATTGGAGATTGTATGCTCATTATGCGGTATGTTTTCTCTGCCTTTTTCTCCTGTCAATTTCTGCAAGACTAATTGGCTAAAAGGTATACTTCGGCATCTCAACACCGTTCTCGAGTCTTTCTCTTTTCACGCCTGCCATCACTGCTGGTCTGGGATACTCTGATCTCCGTGCTCAGTTGATGACGGTGCCTCCGTACGCGGTGGCCTATGTCGTGACTATAGCAGTGGCCTGGTCTGCGGATTACTTCAACAGGTAAATTATCTTATATTTTGAAGAATACCCAATCACTAATCTGAAGCCATGAATTTTAAGCCGTGGTCTCCATTCGGCCATATTCTCTTTCATCGGGGCAATGGGCTTCCTTGCCTCCGCTGTTCTCCCCCGCTAGTGCATATCTAGTAAGTGACCCAATCATATCAAGCACGCACCAAGCCAATGAGAATCATCGTCTAATTCAAACCCTCAGAGCCGCTACGGATGCCTCATAGTCGCTGCTAGTGGCGCCTTCGCCTGTATCCCACCCCTACTAGGCTGGCTATCCTCCAATATCAGCTCAACGGCCGGTGCAGGGCTCGCAATCGCACTCAACATCTCATTCGGTGCCCCAGGCCAGATCGTCGGTGTCTGGATCTACAAAAGCGACGAAGCAAAGATCGGATATCCAACCGGCCATTGGACAAATGCAGCATTGCTACTCTTTGTGGCAGCCGGCTGCATTCTATTAAGGCTCTACTACGGGTGGCGCAATCGCCGTGGAGACGGGGCAAGAGATGGAAAGAGTTTCGCGTATTAGATCGGTAGGGCTGGAGTGTCGTGGTGAAAGTTGATAGGGCTCGGGTTACGAGCTGCAGGGTGAACACGTCTATATGAACTTTGGGACATGCATCTGTCATAAAACAGATAGATACCTGAAGTACCTAGGTAATTAATTTTAATGACAAATTATGAATTCTCGATCGTTTTTACTCATACGCAGTAAGGACAGCATATATAACTTCAGCTCCACATGTGCACTATCTACATAAATAATACACGGAGTGAAGTGCAAGGTTTAGATAGTTGTGTATTGTACATGTCGGCTGAGTCTCTAGTGTCCCCTTGCGTAGAATTTCAAATTAAATAATAGCCCAGATCCGCCTTAACCCTATATAACACTTAATCAATAAATCGCAGCTAATTAATTAATAAAAATCTTCCACGTTCTCCAGATCTAGCCGCACCCGCCATCTCCACCTCCACCACCTCCGCCTCCAGCAATAGCAGCACCGTTTTGACGTTCACGACGCTCCCTTTGCCTTTTAGATGCTTCGTAGTCCTCATTATGTGTGTGCTGGCTGGAGGCGTCATGGCCGTAGGATACGGGCCATGGGGCGGAGAGTCATATGCCTCTGCGAGATGAGCCAAAACACATAATAGTATGTTGGTGGAAGGGCCTGTCTAGGGCATGACAGATAACAGTTTGTTTGCTTAGATTTCTTTAGATATTTTAGAAAGTACTTGGTTTGAGGTAGGTTGTCGTTGGGTTGGCTATGGTGATGGAATAATTAATTTATATAGTCTTCCAATACCAAACCTTTGGTTACTACCTGAGCTTAAAAAAGATACAATAAATGGCGTCTTAAGTGGCATGGTTTTCACTGCTGTCTTGTATAAATTGATCGACATAGCCTCCGCCCGAAAAAGACTGAGTATAAATATGTTACCATATCAAGCAGTCTTGGCGATCACGCTTCGGAGGGTTTGTATAATGTACAATTCTAAGTGATGATATACCGAACATAATAATGCTAGCCCTAATTACCGCAAAGATGTACTCTGGGATATTTTTCTATCACCTCGTGTTTTTCTATCACGTCGAGGTTACCCGAGGCTAGCAATGGGTTGGAGTTGGTTGGTTAAAATAGACAATTAAAGTTGTCAGTTATTAGAGTTCAGCGTTCCATGGTTCACTCCAAAGTAACTGACCAACATCCAACGTCAGGTCTACAAGGTACTTTTGTAGAAGTACATAGTTACTTAACTATACTTTGCAATGCCAAGTAAGATTAATAATCGGGTTATTTTAATACAATGTATTTGGTTCCTTTTAATATCGGTCATTTGGAATGCTGCCCAACTCGGCCGCTATGCATCGGAAATTAATGTTTGGCTACTCCGTAGACACATGGCCAACGCTGTGCTACCCGCGGATGTGTAAGTTCGGGCGGGAGGCCAATGCGACAAAAACCCGATGATCAACAGTACCTCAAACGAGGGTAAACATGTGCAACGCCTTTTTCTAGAAGGGGCGAGTTTTTTTCTAGCCGGTGGTTATGGATCGTGGATCCATAAGTATATCCGTCATTAGTTTAAAAATAAAAATAAAAGGAAGGAAGACTTCACACATAAAAGCTCTGTCGATAGATATTCTGTAATCGTATAATAAAAAACAAAGGAGAACAATCTGATAGAAACCAACCCCGACCATTACACTCCCAAGCCCAGTACCATATATGATACCAGTATAATAGATAACCCGGTCCAGTTCCATGTCTGATCTTCCAAAACCCAACACAGCTTAACAAAAAACAACATATACCAAAGGAACTCCCTCTATCAGGTACATACACCCGATCTGAACCAAGGAAAAGATAAATCAACACAAAACAAATCGAATAATGTAAATCAAATCCAAATCCAAATCCGAGACAGGTAGATGCCCGGAAAATGGAGGTTTTTGTCCCGCCTTAATCCTGTAACTCCTGCTTGTGACCTTTTGCTCCAAATCGCTTTCATTACCACATTCACCATATCGCATCGCACTTGAGATTGGGACAATTATTTTGCATCCGCGGTGACACAGACACACACACGTATTTGTCCATGTCCCCAAGGAGATCGAAGCAGTAGGTGATAACATCTATTGCAAATGCCACCTTAGGCTTGTCGACAATGCCACAAGGTAGAATTGCCATCTGAACCGCACAGCACGGAGTAACGATTGGAAATTGTCCCAGGTAGGACGTCGAACCCGCTCGAGCATGACAAGTCATATGTTCTCGAAGAGACAAACAACAGTCACTTGACACGACGCATGAGACCCGAGCCCCTCGCCTCTTATCAAGTGGGAGTAAGCACCCGGCCTAATTTCCGGGTTTGTCTCAAGGCAGACAGCGCAAGGTAGAGACAAATCAAATCCCGAAGACGGCCTGTATGAACCCAGATCGGGGAAGACAAAAACAATAATTGGTCCCGAAAGAAGCGTATGTGGGATGTTTCTCTAAAGAAATACGTAGATGTACTCTCAGAAGACACGACACGTATGTGGGAGGGGAAGAGGCGCTGAAAAGAGCCAAAAAGGGAGTCTGGTTCGTGATGCATCACACGAGGCCTGACGACATCCAGACACCGTATCATATACCTGAGCCGTCTGGATCTCGGTGTGGTGTGTCACGACTGGTGCTGAGGTTCCACGCATGCGAAACAAGGTAGTGACCTGCATTTGTAGGTGGTCATCCGGGGCAGGGATGGTGCATGGTGCATTTTTCTTTTTTTTATTATTTGTCCGTCATTCTAGCATCGGGAATCATTCCACCAGTAGCCCATGACATGGACTCTGTATTGTAGTGAGCCCTTGTGGGCTGGACTTGCGAAAACCGGGAAGCTGTGGTTGTCGACGAGGGATAGTGCATGCATCAGCAGGACTCGGGGAGAAAAGGGTATCGCATGAGGTGGGAGGGAAGGAGTGCGGTGAAGGGAGGGGGGGTATGTTTCTTTTTTTCCTGCAGTCAAAAACGCAAGTGAGAGAGCAAGGCGACAACAAAAGGTATGGGGTTTTGTATCGGATGGGACTTGTGGATCCCCGAGGGCCCTTCACAACAGGTGGAAAACAAACCAGAACAAGCACCCACACACCAAGAAATGAAGTGCAACAAAGTTCAGGATCAACATCAAAATCAAGCACCGAAAAAATTGATAAAAACACAAGAAGGGAAGAGAATGCCACCCAAGACTATTAGGAAAGATTGGAAATAAAGAATACGATCAGAACCCGCCGGCTCCGCGACCATAGCCAGACGACGTTGCCTGCGGGAACAGTTGACCCTGGTAGACGGTAGCAGCCCGGGGCTGTTGATTCAGGGCCTTGAGGGCAACCTCGGCGGCGTCCTCTTTGGCATTGTTTATATACAGACCATCATACCAGTAACGGGCAGCGATATTCTGGCCCTGGACAGTGACGGTACTAGACCAGGCGGTACGACCTCCTGCGATTCCGAGATAAAAGTAATTAGCTTTCTGCTGCCAAAGTCTCGGAAACTAAAAGTCGGTGTACAAGTGAAAGGGGGGGGCATTTTTCTGTGTCTTTTTCTGCAAGACTCCACTCCTTCCTGCAATGCCCACAACACGAGACACATAGCCGTGGATAGAAGCAGGCTGTGTGCGTAGGTATTGGACCGAGGAATAAGAGGGGAAATAAAATTCTCTGGTTCTGTAGCGTGGGAAGATGGTGGGATAGAGACTGAGAGGGGGAGGAGAGGAAGAGGAATTGGAAATCGGGTAAGTACCTCGCCGATCGGAGACAATGTTGAAGACAGGAGGAGGCACCTTGGTACGTGTGCAATGATCTAGATATGGTTAGCCGGGTATTATTGTCATTTGGAAGGGATTTGGGGCTGCTGATGCTTGTCCACCCGTTCCAATGGCTTACCCTGGAGCTGGTCCTGCCAGCTAGGCCGGCTACCAACACCATTCCCTGGAGGACTAGTAGTATACGACATTGTTGCTTCGTAGAGTAGATAGGATATTGGGGGAAGCGGTTAAGCTTTGCAATTGAGATGGTATGAAGTGGGATCGAAGGTGGGGAGGATATCAGTCCACGATGTTTTGTCAATAACCCAATTGATGATGAAGATCAAAAGAGAAAAAAAGAAGACAAACTTCAAGGGGAATCCACAAGATATAAAAGAAAGAACAGGATCAGACGAGCTCAATTGGACCCGTTTATAATCTCTAGAGATCTTCTTAAATGTAATATTTTTTTTTTTTTTTTTGCAATGACCTTCAAACGGGGACGACATGGGGAGCGGGGAGTCATATAAACAGTGGGCCATATTATCTTCAAGGTCAGGAAAGAAACAACCGATATTTTTTTCTTGTCTTCTTTTTTTTCCCTGTATTTTCTGTATTTTCTTTTTAATTTTCTGTATTTCTTTTTCTTTTCTTTTTCTTTTTTTTTTCAAGTATTTTATTTACCCCCCTGGGAAACAAACAGGAGCCTAACCGTCAAACCTAACGAAGGAGGGGGCTTATGCATGTCGATGTGGACATGACACAGCGTCAGCCAAATCCTCCCCCTCTATATCCACCAGTCAAGGCTCATAGGCGAAGAGTATGCGGATCATTTTGAGGCTGCAACCTGGAACGGCCCGGCGCACGCCGACTAAGCAAGAAACAGCCCTTGAAGAAACGCTAGACAGCACGTAAGGGTTATGGAAGAGGGGCAAACCGGATGTTCCCAAGTTAGTTCCCGCTCTATGACAGACAGGGAGATATTGCCTAATTCTCCTAGGATCCAGAATAAATGGCACCTTTTTTCGGAAGAAGGTTGAACGCGGATTGGATGGAAAAAAAGTGAACAACTCAGAGAAACCCCACGTTGGTGTTTTTGGGGGATTTGCATGCTTTCATTTTGGATTTTTCTTTCTTTTTTCTTTCTTTTTTTTTACTGTCTCGCCTCACTTGAACAGAAGTACGTTAGGGCAAGGGCAAAAAAAAAAGGGAAACGGAAAACAATATAATGTCCCGAGTTTAGTT